ACAGCCCGGAGCACGGCCCTGCCCTGGACATGGCATGTGCATGGCCCTGGGCATGGCACGGAGCACGGCACTGCCCTGGGCATGGCTTGTGCACAGCCCAGTGCACGGCACAGCACATGGCACCGAGCACAGCACTGCCCCGTGCAATGCAGGGCACAGCCCAGGACAAAGCTGGGCACAGCCCAAGCACAGCCAGGCAGGGCAGGAGGGCCCTGGCTACGTGGGCAGCCCTGCACTGGCCACGCTCCGGGCTATGCAGCGTCCTGGCCGTGTCCTGCCTATGCAGCCAGCAACCTCCTGCCCTGCCTGGCAGCACCACAGCCCCCGGGCCCCGCTTCCCTTTCCCTGTGATTCATCATTTGCAATGGCAGGAGAGAAACCAGGAGTGCTTTTATTTCGTTCGGGCATAGGCAGCAATGCCCAGTCCAGTGCTGGCTGGGAAATGTAACGCATTTGTTTTCCATTGTGCATAATTAAATTAATATTACAATCAGCAAACGGCATTACTCTGGAGACAAAACCCTCCAGAAGCCCTCAAAAACTCCTCTCCCTCTTCACTCCCACAAATGGAATAAAAGCAAAGAAAACAAGCTGGAGAGAAATGAGCAAAGGACATGCTCAGTGTGATAACTGTCCAGTTCCAGCAAATCACCTAATCTGAATTGGCTTATTAATAGCTGCTGGGGTTGATGGAGCCTTTTCTTTTTGCTTCTCATTTACAGCTGAAGAATTTAACATTTTCCCGAGCAATGATTTTGCATTGTTTGGAAGTGGTTTCTGTACCGACAAGCCTGAGCTTGAGCCGTGCACCAAACCCTTCTCCACCTGCAGGTTCCCCCCTTGACTACAGAAATATCTGGACACTTTTTTTCTAATAATGGGGAATTTCTACAATACGATTTCACCATTTCCCCAAGGTGAGGTGGGGCCGGCATCTGGAAATCAGCGCTGAATCAGAAGATGAGTGAGAGGAGTGGGTAACTTAACACTATAAATGCATTTCCCATTGCATCTTCCCCAAAAAGCCGCTTACATGCCAGGGAAATTAGAGGAAACCATCCTCCCCTGCTGCTGAAGGGCAAAGGCTGGCAGCGGCCATGCTGCTCACACCTTCTTCAGGTCCTCAGGGCCGAATGAGAGCGGCAGCAGCTCCTCCAGCCTCTTGACGATATAGGTGCCATCCGCTTTGGTCAGGTAGATGTCCCAGTCTGTGCCAAACTGGAGAAGAAGAGCAGAGAGAAATGCCCCATGCAAAACCTGTGCTTCTTCCTCAAATTACTCAAATAATCCTCTTTTTTAGCTGGGTTCACAGGGAGCACCCCACTCTATTGCATGTATCTTAGGGTGACTTTTCAACATCACCCGCCCTGGGGGGTATTTTGGGCTCAGATTTTGCAGTTTTGCCCTCCCCTGGGTGAGCCCTGGTGCCTCCAAACCTACCAAATCATAGAATCGTAGAATGTTTTGGGTTGAAGGGACCTTTAGAGGCCAAGCCCCACAGCCTGTTAAATATTAACCACACAAAAACCAGCTGTGGGTACCGGGGTGCTTGCAGGGAAGAGGGAGGCGAGAGCAGGACGGGCTCTGTGGGGAGCTCGGCTTTTGCAGGAAACCCCCCATTTTCAGGTTTGGCAGAGCCAGGTGACAGCTCTGGGGGCGAACTCTGCACCCGGCAGCTCCCAGTTAGAGTAAAACCCTCTGGGGAGGCCAGGTTAATGAATTACCACCGGGCACGGGGAGGAATACCCCTTTCCCAGCGGATAGTGGAATTTGAGGAGCCTGGAGCCAACCCTGAGGCTGGGGACGGGGGGTTGCAGCTCCCCTCTTTGCACCTCCAGGTGTTTTGGGGGGAGATGCCTGGGGTCAGGAGATGTGGGGGTCCCGCACGAGCCATTACCTCTCTCATCACTTGTCTGCAGGCACCGCAGGGCACAATGAAGTGGTCCCCCATGTCACTGCCAAAGGAGAAGGGCACAGAGCTCAGTCTTGTGGTCGGAGAAGGGGGGAACACCTGAAGAAGACCTTCATGCACCAATAAACATGGAGCCACAGCAGACTTTCCCCCCCAATTCCTCCAAAAAAACATGCAAAAACCTGCCTTCCCCCCCCAAAAAAAACGCTCCCGCTGCTGCAGCAGAAGCTGCCCTTAGGGCTCAGCGGGGGGGTTTCCCACTGCCCCCCGCCCCCATCTCGTCCCTCACCGTGCCGGCTCTCGACGCACCCTTACCTGGTGATGGCCATGGCCCTGAAGCTGGTGTGCCCCTCGGAGATGGCTTTCTGGATGGCAGTGCGCTCGGCGCACACCCCCAGGGTGTAGCAGGCGTTCTCCACGTTGCATCCTGCGGGGAAGCCCCCCGGCACCCGCTCAGCCACCCCAAACCCCTCCGGTTTCCCTCCGGGCGGGGTGGGAATTTGCAAAGAAAAGCCATTTTCCGTGTGCACCGCCTGATCCTGGGCTCTCGCCAACTCATTCCCCGCTTCCCCTATTTATTTCCCATATTTCCCCATCCGCTGCGATCTTTGGCTCACTCTGGGATGGCGGCTGCCAAGAGGCAGCCGGGGAC